TATATTATTACTTATAAGAATGGATATAATAACACATTTTTTTTTTTTTTTGTGCGAAGAAGAGATCGCCGAAAATGTAAATGTTGTAAGGTCATTCCTAGTGAGAATTTAAGTATTTAACATTGATTATTACTTTAAAATTTTAAGATGAAGAGTCCTAAGATAAATAATATTATGAATCGTCATCTTAAAATTAGATGGGGCACTTAAAAAACACAAATAAAATTACTTTTATGAATAAACTTTAAGATTTCAACATTATGGATGTTTATGAAGAATTAAATTTTATGTAGGATAAAATAATAAACACTATTAAACAAGTGACAAAAGATATATTTAGAGAATCAAAAGGAAACATTTCTATAAATAAAAATAGTTGGTGGTGGAATAATAATGTGCAATAAAATGGAATAATAATGTGCAATGGAATAATAATGTGCAATAAAAGATAAAATATAAAAAGTTGTGTTATAAAAATTGATTTAAATGCAAAAACTTAGATAAATTAGAAAAATATAAGGCGACCTGTAGGAAATCTAAGAGAACAAATTCTCTTGCTAAAAATTATATTTTTAGGGAGCTTTATTATAGATTAGATACTAAAGAGGGTGAAAAATATATGTATAAACTAGCCAAGCAAAAAGAAGAAAAAAGTAAAGATTTAATTTAAGTAAAGTGTACTAAAGATGAAAATAAAAAAAAATTATTTTTCTTAAAGAAAAATATTTAACATAGGTGGGTGAGCTATTTTGTTAAACTTTTCAATGAAGTTTTTGAAAATACGATTGATCTTAATGTTCTTAATATCATTAATAATAATAAAATATTTTATTTTTATCGTCACATTACTAAGAAAGAAATCGAGGAGGCTTTAGAGAAAACTGAGGATAGAAAATCAGTATGACTTAATGATATCTCAAATAAAGTTTGAAAATATTTAGGAGATTTGTGAGTTTCTTGGCTTACTAAACTCTTTAATATTATTTTAAAAAATAAAAAGATGTCTGAGGAGTGGAAGAAAAACATCTTGGTCCCATTTTTAAGAATAACGGGGATGCACAAGAGTGTGTAAATTATAGAAGAGTTAAGTTGATGTGTCATACTTTAAAATTATGGGAGGTAATTGAACATAGGATTTAGACGTGTTACAAAAATTTCTCATAATCAGTTTGTATTTATATCGGGCAGGTCTACTATGGAAGCTATACATTTATTGAGAGGTTTGATGAAGAAGTATAGTAAAAATAAGGAGGATCTACATATGATTTTTATTGACTTACAAAAAGGTTACGATAAGGTTCCAAGAGTAGTCTTTTGAAGAGTTCTAGAGAAGAAAAATTTTGATATGACTTATATTCAAGCCATTAAAGATATTTATACTGGAGCTATTACTTGTGCTCAAATAGAAGGAGGATTGATAAAGTATTTTCTTATTTCAGCTGGATTACATCAAGAATAAGTTATGGATGCTTTTACCAAAAATTTACAGGAGAATGTACCTTTGTGTATGTTTTCGTTGATGATATCGTTCTTGTGAATAAGACTAAGAGAAAGAGTTTAGGAAAAAAATTGAATTATGGAGGTCTACATTGGAGTCTAAAAGTCTTTGTTTTAGTAGAAATAAAATTGAATACATGGAATGTAATTTTAGTAGCAGAGTTGTAACTAACGTTTTAGATTTCTCAGGTCTATTGTTCGAAGTGATGGTTATATAGATGAGAATGTTATTAGTAGAATTCAAGTTGGTTTGTTGAATTTGAGGGATGCATCAGGTCTATTGTGTGATAAAAAAATACCACTTAGACTGAAAGAAAAATTTTATGAGATGGTGGTGAGACCTGCTATGCTCTATGGCACAAAATGTTTGCCTTTAAAAGTGAAGCATAAAACAAAGTTAAGTGTTGCTGAGATGAGAATTCTTATGTGGATGAGTGAGTGACTTGACACTTAGATACAAAATGTGAAATAAATATATCCGTTATAGTGTTGGTGTAGCTCCAGTGGAGGACAAGGTTAGAGAGAGTCATCCTAGATGGTTTGGTCACATTAAACGTCGACCATCAGATCATTCGTTTATGAGAGTAGAGGTTTTAGAATCGATTTATGTGAAGAAAGACAAGGTAGACATAAAAAAACTTGAGCATATTGTATAAAAAATAATATTAATCTATAAGAATTAAATGAAAATATATTGCTCAATAGGACGCAATGGAGAAAAAGGATTCATGTGACCGACCCCACTTCGTGGGATAAAGACTTGTTATTCTCGAGAACTCTCTCATTGAATTCTTCCAATTTATTATATTATCACATCATCTGTTGTGCTCTAATTTTTCTATTTATTATTTTATTTAAAGACAGGTTGTTGCTTTCTTAGTGTGAAGCTTCTTTTAAATTAGATACCTCACATCATTATCATTGCATTTGAAAGTTTATGATTTTATTTTCATGTAAACTTAATGTATGGCATATTAATTGAATTATTAAAAAATCTAAGAAATGATGCAATTTAAACAGTATAGGTTGAATAATTGTTCTAATCATGAACCAGGTAACTATCGTGAAATTCCAATTTACATTTCTACATTCAATGAAGAAAAGGTTTTAGCAAATTTAGGATGGATTAATGATTTTGAAGAATTCCTTGAAAGTACAAGTTGTCTAATTCAGAGTTATTGCACCAAATCAAAATTAGTTTGACATGTTCATTTATTTTGGCTAAATATTACCATTAAATTGTTATGGGTGAATGTAAAATATATAATTCAAGTTAAATATTTGTCTTTTGGTGAATTGTGAATCTTGGGATCAATTCCATATATGGCTTTTTGTTATTGTTGTAAATAAGGTATTTATGGTTTGTTTGTGTTTTATTCATGACTTATATGACTTGAAGCTAAACACTATTTATCTTTAGGTTACTTTATTTTTGTTATTGTTTCACTAAAAAATTTAAGCGAAAAATCACGGATGAACTAAACTATTGTTCACAAAAACATTGCTTGAGGTTTTATTACTAACTCTAGATAAGGAACAATATTACCATTCTACCAAAATTGCAACACTTATGCTTATTGCTACAGAGAACTCAATCACAACTCACCTAAAGCTATTGGTATGCATCAACAAAAAAGTCATGTTTGGTTAAATTTGATTATTGAAAAGATTGTAATTCATGTATATTATTTTGAGGATGTTTTAGCCATAGAAAACTATCAGCATCTATAATATGAATCTATATTTGATGATTTTTAAACTAAATAAACATCCATATTAGACGATATTCATGAGCTTATTTTTACAAGATAATGAGCTATAACTCTTGTTTTAAAGCAAATTGATCATGAGATCATCTAATCATAGAAATCGAATCAAAGCCTGGACATGAATTTTGAACCAAACATGTCTATTATATTTGATGAATCAAATGGTCATTCTGAAAAATGCGAACCCTTGGTAAACTACTAGTGGGCATTATTCCTGTGATGAGTAATCATATTGAAATTGACTATTTGGCTCTCATATTGAAAATGACTATTTGGCTCCTGGTTTAATGACACACAATATCATATAATTAATCTCATGATGAGAGCCGAGTGATGTCAATATATCTGGAAATCCGTTAATAGTAATTGCCTCAAAAAATAGTTGAAATATGAAAATCATTTCATTTTGCTAATTTTAAAGACGTATAATTCATTTCAACTAATGTTAAACAATTTTTATTAATTTTCCTTAATAAGTTTTCCGTGTGAGAAAATCCTAGTTGTCTAGTTTGTTTATTTTTAATTTTGTTAGCATTTCAATTTCTAGTATTTATTGCCTGGTTATTATTAGTATCCTTTGACTTACATATTAGTCTCTTAGTATTTTTATTATTTACTTCATAAGTTTATACCATATTAGTCATTTGTATTACTTTGCTTGATGTGCATAAGGATATTCATAAAACATGAACTATTAATCATGATAATTATAAGTTTTATATTTATTTGAATAGAAGAAATATAATTTAAACTTGTTGATAAGGTCATTTTGAATTTAATATGTGAAAATAATATTAGAAAGGCCGAGTCATTTTAAAATTTTGTAACAAATTGGAACTAGTGCTGAAAATTGAATTTTTTAAGAAATACTATATTACTTCAATTTTAATGTGTTTGATTTGTCATTATTTCTTGAGCTTATTGCCAATTCTTTGAATTCTTTTGTGCCCTATATGACATACACTAAAGTTAAAAGGCGATGGTAGATCAAACAAAGATTTGTAGAAGCTTTGTGAGGAAACTCGCATAAATGTTTTGTACAACCATTTCCTGGTGTGACTGTAATTCCTATGACCATTGTGTGCCAAGAGTATGAAAAACAATGACCGGGTGTGGTATTTACCCTTTATCAAACAAATTATTGCATTTTTCAAGTTTTTTAAATGTTCAAAATTGTAGCTATGCTCTTAGTAGGATAGAAAATCTTTTATCCATGCCATGACCATAAACATATAGGTATCAAATGCATTTTTGATACTTGAACAGAAAACCTAGTAAACCAAGAGATGTGATGGTTAGAAGTTTTTTTAAAGCAGGCAAGGTAACTAAGAAAGGCATGTGATTTACGGAGTTATTTTAATCTTGCTATTAGAATTAGTGTTGCACATTTAGTAGCTTTTTTTTTTTTGTATTTTATTCTCTTAGTTGGGTTTTATAACCGACTATAGAAGAGGGTGCAAGTTATTATAACTGACTATAGAGAACTTTTATTTTTGGTTTGCTCATGTATTTCACAATTTAGAATGCCCACCTGCATAAGAACCAATCACTTTCTTAATTTTATGTCTTCTTTATATCTCGGTTTTAAAAAAAAAAGTCATTTGGCGTCTTCTTGTTGATTATTTGTACTTGAGAAGTTTGTATTTTTCTGGTTAGTGAATAGTAGAGCAGGCGTAACTGCTTGGAGAGGAGGGTGAACTGCTTTGGTTTTTTTTTTTTTTTTTTTTTGTGCAGGATGAGAATCTATGGCCATTGATGTCTCCACTGCCATCATATGGTTATGGGAGGGAACATAAAGGACCTCGATATGGAAGCTTAATTCATGGTCAAAAAATTGTGGATGTTGTTATAACAGGTTGGTGGTCATATGGTAGCTTTCTATTAAATCATTTACTTTCTATATATTATTTTCTAAACAAAGCTTATCAATAAACCCAAATCAAATGGTATACCAAAATGTGAGGACTTTGAAGTAGTTTGGTTACATGAACAAATCCAATCGTCAGCTAAGATTTATCATCCACTGGTACTATGCCCCACTTAATTATTTTTAATAATCATTCTTGAAAGTCATGCTGCTTGTTGCACTTTGTAGCTTCTGCATGTAACAATTAATTATAATTGTTAAATTTGAGGCTAGAGTTGCATACCTTCATTGACAGGAAAGAGGTATATAAATACGCATTATAGACCCACATAAAAGGAAAGACCTGAATCCATAAATACATAAATATAGAAGCATATGAAAATAAAGAAAACAAATAAAGCATGGTAGTAATTGCAACATTAATTAGGCTAATAATTCTGATACTCTTCCTCAAGTTGAAGTATAAATGTTCATCATGTTTAACTTGGATTTGAAGTCGTCCAACAATGGCTGAGGAAGATTTTTTGTGATGATATTTGTTAATTGATCATTAGATGAAACAAATAGAATATAAATCTCTTATGAATCAAGCTTTTCCTTAATAAAGTGCCCGTCAATCTTTACATGCTTGGTACGATCATACTGGACCAGATTATGGGTGATTCTAGTGACAGCTTTATTGTTACAAAACAATTGGAAAGGAGCAAAGACTGACAGACGTAATTCATGGAGCATAATGCGTAACCAGAGAGCTCCACATTTAGCCAAGGAGTGAAACTCGGCTTACGCACTGCTCTGGACCACAACTGATTGTTTTTTGCTTTTTCACATGACAATATTTTCCCACAAGAATGAGTAATATCATGAGGTTGATCGCCAACCATGAACAAACCTTACCCAATCTGCATTCGTATAAATAATAATAGAATGAGATGCGTGACATGAAAATATAAATCTGAGCTTGGTTTATCTTTTAAGTAGTGAAGGATTCTATGGACAATCCTGAGATGGTGCTCATAGCGATCATGCATGAATTGACTCACAATTCCTTTTACGTGAAAAATGTCAGGACGAGTATGGGCGATGTAAATGAGTTTCCCCATAAGACGTTGATAGTGAGTCTTATTCATCAGAAGAACATTAGGATCATCGGCTAATTTTTCATTGAGATACATTGGAACTGTTTCTAGTTTGAATAGGAGTAAGTTATTCTAGCAATAAATCAAGCACATATTTGCGCCTAGACAGACAAATGCTCGAGATGACCGAACAACTTTCACGCCTAAGAAGTACCAAAGCGATCCTAAGTTCAGTTCAAATGAAGTAGCAAGAATACCTTTGAGAGATTCCAATGCTAGTAGATCATCACATGTGTGCACAATATTGATTTCTTATGTATGGTCGATGGAGGATACCTTACTTACCAATAATTCACCTAAAATAAAGTTAAAAAATTCATGACCATTGTCGGTCCCAAGAGTCTTAATTGACGTTTTGAATTGTGTCAAAATAGAAGAATGAAAATTTTTGAAGATGACAACAACTTTAGATTTATCTTTTAAGATATAGATCCATGTCATTCGAGTGCGATCATCAATTATGGTAAGGAACCACCGTTTATTATTGTAGTTGGGTGTGTGAGAGGGTCCCTACAAGTTATTGCGAATAAGTGAAAAAAGAGAGGAAGGTGTAAGGGTGGAGTATATATGGAACACAATGATGTTTAATTGACAAATCTCACATTTGAAACTAAAAAGATATTTATTACTAAATATTGATGGATACAAATTTATTAAATATTGAAAACTGAAATGACCTAAATGATAATGTAACAACATAATAGGGTATTTAATGAATTGAGAAAGACTGCAACTACTGGGAGAAGTGTCCTCGTTTTTCATGCCTTTCCCTTAAAAAAAGTAGGGCGCGGCTACTCGCTTAGCAGTTCCAATCATCCTTCTTAAATAACAATCCTGAAAAACACAAACATCAGATGAAAAATGAGCCATGCAATCATGTCATGTGTCAGCTTAGTAACAGATAAAATGTTGCATTTGAACAGAGGAACATACAACACAGATTCCGTAGTTAGAGCGGTTTTTAATACAATTGATCCTTTACCAACAATAGTGTTGCATGAGTCATAGCAATTTTAACTGTATTTTCTCAGAGCAAGGATAATGTTGAGAAAGCTTGAAAGCATCCAGTCATGTGGTTAATTCATGGATTGGAAGAGACAAAAGAAGTGAGAGTCATAGGAATGTACCTTGACGGACGTGGGAGGTTGATGGACCGGAAGAGAATTGACTGGATCCAAGTAGTTAGATTAATTGTTCCATCTAAATCTTAAGAGAGTTGGATGATTCCAAAGTGTTCCGGGTGGAGGTAGGTTGAACTTAAGTAGATTCAGATGTCATAGTAAGCCTCTTAGTAGAGGAAGATTTGACTGACGGTTTGTGTGCTGGTTTTTCATGGAGGTTCCAATATTTCTCCTGAGTATGGTTGGGTTTGTGACAGGCATGGACGAGTGTTGATTACTATTAGTGATCAAGGCAGATAATTTGACTGAAGTGGAAGTGCCGAGCATGAAAAGTCTTCGGCTCTTTTCGCGTTGAATTTTTGTGAATGTAGCATGAGTGGAAGGAAAAGAATCTCGGCCAAGGATACGACCCCAGACTTCATCAAGGTCTTTGTTAAGGTATGCCAAAAATTGAAACATGCAATCTTTCTCCACAATTTTTCTGTAAGAGGAAAATGTCTGCTGCAGATTCCCACGTGTATTCATGGTAGAGATCACATTTCTTCTATAAGGCCATCAAATCATTATAGTACTGGGTCATGGTCCTCGATCCCTGTTTCTTTTCGCGAATTTTCTTGGAAACCTCATAAAGTTGGCTGGAGTTCCCGACATTTGAGTTGGTATCCTGAACTACATTCTAGAGAGTATTGACAGAATGAAGAAACATATACGAACAACCAATTGTAGTCTCTATGGAATTAATCAATCAAGACATGACCATAGAATTCTGCACTTCCCACATTTCATACGTTGGGTCAGTTTTAGGAAGTTAACGAATCATTTCAATGAGATAGCCGATTTTCCAGCATCCCTTGACACACACATACACGGCTTTGGACCATTGGAAAAAATTAGATTCGTTCAATTTATGGGTGGTAATTAGGAAGTTCATGTGATTTTCTAGTCCTTTGGTTTGCGGAGGGATTAAGAGTGGTGTTAACTCTCCTATGGACTCAAGCACACTGTCAGGAGAAGGCTTGGTGGTGGAAGAGTTCGCCATGATTCAACTGAGCCAAATGTGATACCAGGTTACCAAAACATGGGAAGATCTCTGATTGAGGACATGAAAAGAAGATCCCACGACCTAACAATTCTTTGTCTGCACCGGGAAAAGAAAGGTTCGCTGGAGAGAACTTAAATCGGCGCTGGCAGGGCATGCAGTGAGGCCGACGCAGGATAGATCGAAATCAATCGCTCATCAGTGCAGTGGCCCTTCTGCAGAGATGTCGCTCTAGCAGAAGGCCTATAGCAGAATGTGTGGCAAGGCCGACGCTGAGTAGGGCGGCAGGAAGAAACATGGAAAACCTGAGGTAGTCGACGACAGTATCCCTGTAGTGTCCTTACAGGAAAAGACCTGCAGGTGGTCCGAGACTAGCGTGGAAGCTCTAGATTTAAAACCATGTCTCTGTTACCATGTTAAATTTGAGGCTAGAGCTACATACCTTAATTGATAGGAAAGAGGTGTACAAATACATATTACAAGACCCACATAAAAGGAAAGACCTAAATTTTGAAATACAAGAATATGGAAAAAAAATGAAAATAAAGAAAGTAAATAAAGCCTAATAATATCTGCGGCATTAATTAGGCTAATAATTCTAACTATAAGCAATAACGTTCGTGAAATGCCAAACTCAGTTATAGAGTGGATTCAAGCATTCATATATAGAGAAGCTAGCCTTTCTTGTATGATATTGAATCAAATAATTCAAACATATTTTGTTTCAAATTAAAACATAAATAAAACAAAATAAAAAATAAAAAATAGAAGTGATCCCAAACTTCCGCTTAATTATGCATTCATGCCTATATGCTACCTTTATCAAAGTATGAGTGGTTTTGAGCCCATTTAAGTTTTTCTCCAATTGTTCAAGATAGCAAGCTGTTTATTCCTTCCTGCACCTTCATGTCTTTTTAGGCGCCATAAATTGATTCATTATAAAATCTCCTTTCTTGATTCTGCAACTCCTAAACCTGTAGCCCCTAGCCTTCAACAGGGACAGAATTCCTGCAGTAGCCCATTCAGCTCCAAGCAAACAGCAAGGACGTTGATCTCAGAGTCTCATCCAAGCCTTGAAAAGAAACAGAAGCGTCCTCAGCAAGACTTCAACAGCTCCTCCAGTACGGACAGACAGTCGGCATATTTTTAATAATCTACTGCCCCATCCTTTTTTTAAAGAGTTGTGGAACCCTCCTCCAGGAGCGACAATCCAGGGAGATGAAATGGAAATCTAGGGAGAACAAGAAGAGTGATTGTTATTCCTTTAGGGGAAAAAAAACTTTTTCTGCAATACCACAGGGACGGGGTGTATTTTTAGAAAGTTGGATAATAAACCGCTTCAGAAGAAGACTAATGTAAACTTGCTATTTGTGAAGAGAGGATTGAATTATAGATCTGAAGGAGTTGGTAATTCTCCTGTGGCACTCTAATTGTCTATCAAACTTGCTATTTGTAAAATAGAGGGTTGAATTATAGAACTCTACTATTAATGAATACTTAAAGGGGGATCCTTGGAATGAAGGAGTCAAAATGATGAAGGGTTCATTCGTTGAATCACTTGCCAAAGGTATGCTTTGAATTCAAAGAAAATCTAATTCCAGGTTATATTTTAGGGAGAATTCGATGCAGGTTTATATGAATGATACCTGAAGATGGATTCAAATTGCAAGAGTTATGATACAATAGCGG